ACCAAAGAGCGCCCCTTTTTGAAAATCGAATTCCTTCAGAGTATCATTCTTCGAATTAGGCTAAAGCAGACAATAAACAACAGGTTTGTCATCGCCTCAACCGCATATCCGAATTTTGCCCATAATTATTTGCACGGTTTCATTCTTAATCACCCCCGAATGATTATGAATTCATGGTATTTCATTAATTTGTTTCACGAATGTAAAAATAGAGATATCCGGTATGATAATCATGAAAGTCCCTGTTATGCAAAATAAATTGAAATATACTGAATACTTTTTCATTTGATTAATGAAGACTATTGTGCCAGTGTTTCTTCAAATCCTCGAAGCAGTTTTGGTATGTCCTTGAGCTTTCTCAGTGATCCGGTTTCTATCTCCTCAATGGTCGCAAAAGGTCCTTTCATAGGTCTCTTCAATCTTGGAAACAGGAAAAAGTCGCAGGGAGGAAAATCTGGTGGATATGGTGGCTGATGTATGATTACGATGTTATCTTTGCCCAAAAAATCACGAGCAAGCAATGACGAGTGAGCAGGAGTTCCCTTCAAAAAACTTTCACTAAAAAATACTCCAAAACTCCTGATTTTCTTACTCAATTCCTGAATCACTCTATATGATAATATTGTTTTGCTTCCCAAATATGTTCTTTTGATGTACTGTTTAGAACCTTTGGTGTAGTAATGAATATTATTGGAGTTCTTTCCCACCACCAAACCGTTATTTTTAACAGCTATTTATGCTGAAAATGTTAAAAATAACGATTTGGTGTTGGGAGAAAACTCCAGTAATATCCAATATATGTTAGTGATATTTTCTTTCCACTGTATAAAAAAAGCGTCACAGATTCGACCTACCCCAGAGCCAAACACTTTGTTTACGTTCAACAAACTGAATTCTTTGGTTTTTAACTGTCATCGTCCAAAAGTGATTTGTTGACACGCGATAAATTATTTAGAAATATTCTCTTCGAATTCAAAACAAAAATAAACGATGCATCCAAACAACATCAGGCTGTTATATTTCGAACAACTGTCCCAGAAAAAAAATTTCCTTAATGGACCTATCTTTATGACCCGCATTTCACTAAACAACATTTATTCCGATGACTGGCCATAACATAAAGAACCTCGACCATATATACAGTGCTCGCCAAAAAGTTTTGCAACGTATGGAAAAATGTTTCGTTGTTGATTTCATGAAAATTTGTGTTTTAACTAAAATTGTTCAAGTTTAAGAGGAAGATCGAACTTCCTCTTGAAGATGATCACTTGGTGATCGAAACACGTAACGAGGTGTTAAAAATAACGGTTTGGTGTTGGGGTATGACTCCAGTAATATTCATTCTCACAAATGATTTATTCATGTTATGTTTAGTTTGCTCAACAAAAACCAATAATTATGGAATAATTCAATTAAGCAGTTTCAAAGAAAAAATTCAAAAATATTCACAGTTTTGAATTGAGTGGAAGTAGAAGGAGTATAAATCGGCTAACAACAGAAGTCAGCATATCCAACAAAGAAAGGAAAGTATAGATATCTCCAGTCATAAATTTCACTTGCTTTTGTACCTACAAACAGTATTTCTCATAGAGATTTCAATTTTTTTTAAATAAGAGTACTTTTCTCCTGGTCATAAATAATATGTTTTAACGTCATATCAATATATCCTCCTTATACGTTAAAAATAAATTAATTTGACTAAGGTTTAATGAAAGAGCAAGTTATGATTGCGTTACTCAAATGACAAGATCAAAACCTGAATTATGTCTTTTGACAAACATGTTTGGGATATCCTTCAGTTTTTTTTTCGTCTTTATAGAAAATTTATTTTTTACCTTAAACTGAGTAACATGAAACTCAACATTGAAAATAATTTCAACCTCAAGTCCAAATGACTTCTTCCTCTTTTGATTTTGTTTACTAACCTGAGGTGGCACAGCTACTTCTTCCTCATTTTCATACTCTTCATCGTCATCTTCTGATTCTTCTTCTTTGTCATCTTCTGATTCTTCTTCCTTGCCTTACTTATCATCTCCCTCATCTCTAGATACTTCTTTCTCTTCCCCAGAATCGTCTTCTTCGTATCCGGAATAATTCTCTTCTTGAGGCTGAACTTGATTTTCTTCTTCGTCATCACAATCCTCCTCCTTGTTGGACTATAACATTTGAGTTTTCTTCCTTGACTACCACTTCTTTGTTGACCACCACTTCTTCAGTTGCGGTATTGGTAGCAGCCTTCTCCTTTCGCGTCTCTTAGATGCTTCCCCTTTGGCGTTGCGCTGTTTCTATGGAGGTGGGGGCGGTTGCTCTTCCGTTGCTATCCTCTGTTGTCTCCTCAGAGCGCTTTTCGAGGGCTCTGACCTCAGGTGGATCAGCTTAAGTTTAGCTTGGATGTTCCTGTCAACTTCCTTTTGCTCTTGAGCAGTTTTCTGTTTCTGAGGGGTCTGAACTTTCTTAGGCGTCTGCATATTTTCCAATTTAGACTTTTTCGGCGATTTCTTTTTGCCGCCGAAGCTTTTCCATATATTGGAGATTTTAGGTTCTACGTCAGTCATTTTTAAAATTTACTTTTGAAAGCCGCTATTCAAAAACGTGAATTATCTGTATTATTCATGATAGAATCAATAAAATTAAAAAGATTAGCTGAAAAATAACAATTATACTATTATATTAAGCGAAAAAAAACTGGAATTATAATGAAATAAAATACAAGCAACAATTGATAGTTGAACAGTTAATAAGAAACGCTTAATATAATTGTTGTTTTACAGGTAATCTTTTTAATTTTAACGTTTTATATCATACTAGGCAGAGATTTTGCTGTATCGCTGCTGTTTCAATGTTTTGACTGAATCAGAATCAACGAACTTAGGCTTGCGCAGCGTTTTAGACGATTACTTTCAAAAAAAATGTTCCATAGCGCCATCTAGTGGCGTCTAGTAGTCTCTATGAAAAATTACTTATACATGTCAAGTTTCATCACGATCGGTTGAGTAAGTTTATCACTTACCAACCAACAAACATCCATTTTTATATATATGATTAGACAATGGAAGTCTGAACTAATGAAATGCACCATGAAATCATGCCAGCCACCTTCAAACAAAATCAGTTATCATTATTATTACATTAGGGTTGCATTCTTCTCGTCTAGCTTCGTATATTGAACCCCGGTGTAAACGACCTGTTCGCTGACTCTGTTTTGTTTTCACAGGCCGCGGCAACACCACCTGCAACCTCTGCTTCAAGACCTTCGCCTGCCATTCAGCTCTCGAAATCCACTACAGGAGTCACACCAAAGAGCGCCCCTTCAAGTGCACCGTTTGCGACAGGGGATTCTCCACGAAGGTACGTGTCATATCTGATGCATGTGATTGAATCGTCCCGCCTATTTTTATCCGCACAATAGAGCTGGCGACATCTCGAATTAACCGTTGGCTACTGGCCAACCGTGAGTTATGTCGAATGTCTAAGTGGTCTATTTCGGAGCGGGATCTTTTTTCGAGTCGAAGACCATTTTTTGGAATGTCATAATTCTTGACTTCGATGCCTTTTTGGTTTGACAGATATTCGGGGTATGGGCGGTGATGGAAATACAAGAGAGCAAAAATTACATTCCAACAGGGGAAGTTCTATACTCAAGATATTGAAGTGTTCAATATGCGACTTTGCCATCTTTATTTGCAAAGATTTTTAGCCACCTACCACAATGTTTTCCAATTTTTCGACAAAAAATCACGATATATTCAGAAACCTATTTGTCGACTTCATTGCTTCATTATCTGGCTCGCTCAAATTATCCAAACTTTTGCCAAGCATTTGGTACAGAACTTTCTCCATTTTCGTTACTGAAGAAATACATTACGAATCAGTTTCTTCATCTGTCAACATACCACCTTTTAAACCATTTCAAATTCATGCAAACTTTTGGCAAGTATTTGGTAAAGAACTTCCTTTATTTTCGTTACTGAAGAAATACATTACGTATTAGTTTCTTCATCTGTCAACATACCACCTATTAGACCATTCAAATTCATCCATTTGGTACAGAACTTCCTTCATTTTTGTTACTGAAGAAATACATCACGTATCAGTTTATTTTTCTGTTAACATACCATCTTTTAAACCATTTCAAATTCATCCAATCTTTTGCCATTCTTCATCTGTCAACATACCATCTTCTAGACCATTTCAAATCTTTGCAAACTTTTGGCAAGCATTTGGTACAGAACTTCCTTCATTTTCGTTACTTCATTTACGTATTAGTTTCTTCATCTGTCAACATACCACCTTTTAAACCATTTCAAATCTATCCAAACTTTTGGCAAGCATTTGGTACAGAACTTCCTTTATTTTCGTTACTGAAAAAATACATTACGTATCAGTTTCTCCTTCTGTCAACATACCACCTTTTAAACCATATCAAATTCATTCAAACTCTTGTCAAGCATTTGATACAGCAGAACTTCCTTCATTTTCGTTACTGAAGAAATACATTACGTATCACTTTCTTCTCCCGTCAACATACCACTTTTTGGCGTAATTTCAATGACATTGACTAAAGTTTCCCAAGTTTCTGACAAGAATCTTGAGGAACACTTCTAAATGCATCACCTGTACCAGAACTGCAACACTCTCCTCAATACAGAAAGTACTGATGGTATGCGTATTTTTATTTTTCTGCCTATCCTGTATTCTTCAACTTTCTTCTGAAGTAACTGTCCAGAATTGTTTTTGATTGTTCCATATCTTGATATTTCCAGTATTAAGTCTTTCCATGATTCATTTTTTGTAATCATTCCAGCATTGTGGTTAACTATCTCCACAATTTCTTTTTTAGTCCTACACATCGGCACTCAACAGTCTGCTCTGTGGAGCAGATTAGTGAGCAGTACGTTTCCATAGTTCAGTCTACTTGAGAGATGCTAAATGAAGCTACCAATCTTTTGCTTTGCCAACGTATCAGATATTTCATTGCAATCCACTCCGCTGTATTATGTCGTAACTCTTTGGCACTCTTTTCAGAGCTGACAAAGCGCTAGTTCAGTTCTTTATAGACTTCTGGTGTGAACTTTCTGATTTAGTTTTGAATACATGTCCTTCAAGAAATACCGACCCACGGTAAAATAATGGAAGCCTTGAAAGAAGTTCAAAGTATGTCTCCAATAATAGTCGGAAAGAAATTGTGGAAAACTTTAAAGCAATCACATTTCAACTGGGAAAAACAATACAGGAAATTGCTCTCAATCTAAAATTATTTGCTGGAGAAAGCAATACCTAAGGCAGGTATGAGAATTTCAACGTCAGAATATAAAGATGTACTATCAAGCGGAAGTTTACGCTATTGAATTGTGTACGGAGAGATTGGAAGAATCCAAACTCATACACAAGTCAATAAAAATATTCCGCCCGCTGGAGCGGAATCAGGTTTTTAGAGTTCGGCAGAATCGCACTTTTACCATCTGACTTGAAAGACCGCTCACCATACAAACTAATATTCTTCGTTAAGAAGCTGGGTTCATTTGTCCGAGTGTGAATAGGTGTGAGCCACAATAAACCCTTATGGGTTGCGGTGGAGGTTCGAATAGACACACTCATTTTGGAACTAACCTAACCTAACCTACAGGAGAAAGAGAACAAACAGAAGACCTGCGCACAGCTTTGGAGAAATTGATTGAAACGATGAATTCGGAGTGGTATTGGTTGTATTTGTACGGAATCAGTCGAACTATCACTGTAGACAAAATATCTGAATACGTCAAAAATTAAGACTGCTTAAAAGATGCAGAGACTATAATAAAGGAATTGACCACTAGTGAAAACCCAAATGAATGAGTACTTCGACCAAGCCACTGAAGATGACTGCCGCAATTGCAGTCGAAACGTTTGGAGATTGTAACCAAAGAACACCACGGCAAAATCCGGAAACTAACCAAAACATCAAATGCTTCATGTTTGGAGTAAACAAACGCTTTAAAGATGTGGTTTACAACCAGTCTACATGGCCTAGAAGCATGGCTTTTGAACGATTTGATTTTCAAAAATATGATCGATACCAAAAACATCAGGAGTTTCAAATACTGACAACACTTCCTTTGTTAAAGGAAAGAAAATTAGTCTCATTCATCACAATCTTCAATAAATGACCACAGACACTTAAATTGTTACAGAGTCTAAAAAAATTCAAAACAGGTGTCAAAGAGATTCTGATCAAGTAAGAACCTCATTTACTCCAGGAATATCTAGATAGATTTCAAACCTTTATGTACGAATTGTGTGACGTCGTTTCATTTTATACTTTTTTTTAAAATGTAGAGTATTCTCTGAAATATATTACTGTTATTATTGTTTGAATGTGGTTGACATCACTGTTATTATTATTTTTTTATCGAAGTTTGCGCTCGTCAGGCCTATCCCACGAAGCTCTGATACATTCGGAATATGTAGTCAACAAGATGGCACAGAAACGATACGTCATTATTCTGCGTCTGTCCCCTTATCATTGCGATATCTTCTCAAATAACCATACCTATTCATTATTATGAAACTATTTCGAATCAAAATGTTATAACAATATTCATTTTGTGTGAATGAACAAACATAGTTATTAGTTTCAACAAGTATTTTTATTAGATACCCATACGTACACCATTGCAGGTAGAAAACGACCCGAACATTCATGAAATCATTTGTTCGGGACTAATTTGCGATACAAAAAAGGGTGGACCCGGTAAAGTATCATTAATTATCAATAAACAGGGTATACAAAACCTCACTCTTTCCAACGCGAAACCATTGAAGACAATTGAGGATCAAGAATTATGACAAGCAACTTTTCACTTCAATTGTCAATATACAAACTTTCTCTTTCAATCGTGTCTCCCCGTTTGTATCCCAACTCCCGCCAACCCCTGTAGTTGACCCGATCTGAACCGCTTTTATTACAAAAAATTTCCTCTACCCATAGTTGACATGTGTGTGTATTTCAGGACGGTTGTGTGTGCACGCAGAGGCGTATCCAGGACGAAGTGGAACCTTGGAGGGCGCGAAAACGAAAGGCTGCCCTTCGCAAGTCCATTCCCTCCGTATTTCCCTTACCGATGACGCCTGGATACGCCTCAAGTTGGATGCAATCGGCGGTAAGCTCCGCCAAAAAATCTGGCATATAAAAACCGTTCAACTCTCTCTTGTTGCAGGGTAACATGAAGCAGCACATGCTGACGCACAAGATCCGCGACATGCCCCAGCACATGTTCGATAACAAGCCCCCTTCGCTGAGCGGGGATGATTCCACTCCGTTGCCGCCTAGTCTGCCCCAGAGGGAGGCCTCCAGCTGCGAGGGGGAGGCTCAGCAGATGCCTCAGCAGCTGGCGCAGCCCGCGCAGGTTCTTCCTTCTGCGCAGCCTCCACCGCAGCAGCCGAAGCCGGATCTGGAACCGCAACCAATCAAAAGAGAACCGACAGAGACTGAACTGCCAATGGCGAAGCGTCCCCCAAGTGAGTTTCTTTCGCCAGGTTTATTTTTTTGCGAAAAAATCAATCGTTCAGCGAGTTAATTGGCACAGAGAATGAACATTTTCCGAACTTCATTCAATAATTTCTGGTATGAAATACATAAGGAACACATTTGGACCAACGTTGTTCATCATATTCATTACTTGATTTCTTAAAGATGTTGAAAATCGTTAAGGATTTCTAAAATTAAATCTAGATGGCATAGTGTCTGTAGGTTTTGATGTGGATTTTGAAATGAGTCTAGATATTGTTGTGATTATTTTCCCAGATCATAAAGCTGATTAAAAAAATTAAGGCTAGGACATTTTCAGAGTTTTTTTACAGCGATTCTTCCCAAAGAAGATAAATCTGACAGCCACGAAATTAACATCTAGATGTAATTTTTCTTGAATCATACGTGACTTTTGGAATCAAATATTCAAATATGATTGTGACTAAATATTTAAAATTTGCATAAATGCTTCTACAGGTTCAAGTTGATATTATGATTATGACAGTGACTAAACTCTAACTCTACTGATTATGAAAATCAAATAAAACCCACCAGTACAATATGAATGTACACAAGAGACCGAAATGAATGATCCTTTAATTCAAATTCCTCCTTGAAAAACAACAATTTATATATGATATTCAGAAATCTCGATATATTTATCGAAATTCATTGGTAACTAGGGTTGCCTTTTATATTTCGGGATTAGAGAACAAAAACAAATATTAATAATCGAAAATCACTGTAATGTTTTTCAAAATATTCCCCATGAAGATCTATACACTTTTGCATGCCTTTGAACCGATTGTCGAAGCACTTTTGCCACTCTGATTGAGGTATCTCCAAAACATGCATTCTGAAAGCAGCAACCGCTTCTTAAGGTGTCGAAAAACGTTGACCTCCCAGTTTGTTTTCTACGTGCGGGAATAAAGAGAAGTCATTCGGTGCCAAGTCAGGACTATACGGCGGATGACTCATCAAATCGATGTTTTTGGTGTTCAAAAATGCAGTTGTTTGAGCCGATGTGTGAGAGCTCGCATTGTCGTGGTGAAGAGTGATCCGTCTTCAGCGGTTGCTTTTCCAGATTTCTTGGAAGACAACTGGCAAACAAATGGATGTGTACCTCTCAGAATTGACTGTTCTGCGTTGTTCTAGTGGTATGGTTGCGACATGTCCAGTTTTTCCGTAAAAACAAGCGACCATTAAGGTTGTCTCAATCTCACGATAGGTCACATGCCAATCTTGCAATATCAGTTCGCGCACAGCATCAACGGTTTCCGGAACAGCAACTGATTTTGGACGACTTTCACGAAATTCGTCTTGGAGTGAATTACCACCACAATTGAATTCACCATACCATCGATAAACACTGGTCCTTAAAGGAGCTTCATCGCCAAAAATTGAATTAAGTTCATCCATGCACTGTTGCTGAGTTAATCCATGTCGAAAATTGTGAAAAATATTCGCACGAAAATGTTCACGATTCAATTCCATTTTTGGGCCGAGATGAATCTTTTAAGTTACTGTAAACAACACAAATAGCGCGCGTATTTCAAAATGTTCTGAGTACGTATAAGCTCAAAAATGTCCAACTTTACGATAGAGCTGTCAGTGGCCAGATTGCAACACTAAGAAAGAAAAAATCCTTTCGAAACAAATACTTCTATATGAACACTAAATTATACAGAAGATACTTTTCTCTACTCAGTTTGTATTTCAAACATTCGTTGTGGAATAAAAATCAGATATCATTCACATGAGTTCTACTTTAAATGGTAACAAATTGCACTTACATGGAACACTGTCATCCTCACTGGTATACATCGATGTTTCGCCTTAAGACACTTGCTCTAAGGCTCTTCAGTACCAAATTGAATAACATTATAGAAAATACACACACTTCATTCATGAATTATGATTTTTAATGTCAAAACCGTTCTTTTCCAAAAATTAATCACTCCTAAAAGTATAACCCCTTCAATTGAAATCACATTGTCATCCACAATCGAAAACATACAAAACAAAAGTATCTATAGAATAAACAACTCCGAATAATTTTTTTTGATATGATATTTTTATGATATGAGAATAAGATCTGTTGAATTTTCAAAGCATCAAAACAAAGAAGGATAAGTTGGTTCATTACCTCGTTCTTGCTTTTTCATAAGTTCACCTACAGATACATTGTATTCTTGCTTCCTTTCTTTCCTGAAAAAATACTAAAGAATGCACGTTCTAATCTGAAACACAAGTCATGAGAAATTCTGCCAAACTCTATATTCCATATGCCAATACTTCCATTTCAGCATCATTTTCATTATATCATAACATTCGTTGTTCACCTGAATTGTATACGTATACGATGGTATGTCAGACCTGCGATCAAATCGTCTCTCGTCTCTCATTATAAAATCTGATCGCGATTCAACATTAATAATAGTAAATGAATCCGTCCAATATGCATTCGAGCTATTTGTGTCACTCTCTGTGCCAAATATCTGATTTACTGAACTGTGTTTCATCACATTTTTATTTAGAGTTCGTTCATTATCATGTGTACGAAAATTGATACTGATTGAAAGCTGGTGGAAGTAAATAAAAGTTTAGTGTTTCGGCTCAATGCAGTTCTGGTCTCATATTTGGTTAAAACCAGAAGATGTCAACTTTTGTCTTCATTTATTTTTAAACACTATTTTCTTGTGGAAGTCAATAATTCATTATAGCTGAAAAATGATGGCAAATACATTCAAGATATGAATCAGGCTAAACTGAGACAGCATAGTTCTGTTTGTAGTTTTTAGTAGCCTTCTTCAAAGTTGGAAGTGTTTTATTTCTCTTGTATCAACTCATATTCAGTTCTTATCAAATCGAATTGAGACTAACCCAATTCAACTGAATTTCTACCGCAATTGATACTGGCCTCAAGAAACTTCAGGTCCTTGGAGAGCCTATGTCTTGTATATATTTATCCTGGCAGGATTGATACTATGAGTTTCCTGAATATCAAATGGAGAGATCGACTTCCTAGATATGCTTTGGCAGCTGACGTTCTTATTGGATTTCTCATTATTTCCAACAGATCGTTCATGTATGGGGATATAGATCCCCGAGGAACACAATGGATGATCTAATAGACGATACTTGTGAAAGCTGAAAGACTTGAACGAAAAACATTATATATGGCTGAATTATCAGATGATAATTATAACAAGTTCAACATAGAGAAAGGGGCTTGACATAAGCCTTTTCAAATCGATCGTGGACACCAAGTGGACAAAGATATTACCTCCACAAATTCTTGGTGGAAAGATACAATTATAGGTGGAGATCAAACAACTGGGCTTGACAAAAGAACTCAGACAGATCTGGAGCAAGCATTCAGACAGGATTAAAAGGAAAGGCTAAGGTCGTACAGCTGTTGACCAGAAGCATTTATGGAAAAACATAGAGGTTGAAACCAGATATGTTTTATAGGTGCTTGTACCCATAGTAACATAGTCTTCTTCAGTTCGATGGACAAAGAAGAAACAAGCGACAGCTATCAATAAACTGAGCAGGGTGCAAATAACTTGATTTCAACGGAAAGGCAAAGGATATCAACATTATTAAAACTTGGCTACCAGAACTCAGTTGCTCCCCAGGTGGAACTGAGCAAGCAATATTGATTTGTGACCCCAACAGCCAAACTGCACAGACCAATCACAGACAATGAGAAAACTGATGATTGTGTTGCAAAGATCATCAAGTTCATATATGAGTTAGCTGTGGGGACACCAGAATATACGATAAGGGGTCAGATCAGAGACACAAATAATGAGTATTGGGAAAGTACACCTGGAAACACTATGAAAAACATTTCAAAGGGACTGTTTGAGAAAAAATGGATTGCTTTGACATTAATATATTATGAATAATCATAATATTAGAAATAACCATTTGGAGGACATCTGAACAAATTAGGAATGCTTAACGGTAATCCAAGCTACAGGCAATGTAGCTGGGATTGCCGTTGTGAATGTTAAGCACTGGATGGATGGGCAACCCAAATTATGTCTATAGAAAAATATGATAAACAACCGACAGAGGATATATATAACCTAGTACATGAAACAAGATTGTTCAATTAAGTGTCATGAAAGGAAGGAATGAAAAAACGCACAAATCAGATAGGTCTCAAAAAAACTGAGCATTTCACCATTTTCCTCCAAAACTATTTGGGAACTTGGCAGGTGTTTTTGTAGAACCTCCACAACATCTATCTTGGTCGCTCTGATTAATGATATGTAAGAAGAGCTATCGCTGTTGAAAGAAGTAGAATTACCTCCATCGAAGAGATATTACCAAAATCGAAATGATAATAGCTCAGAAGCATTTTTTATTCCTAATTCCTCCTCAAAAAGGTTAATTGTTGCAATGCAATAAGTTGAAGCAGAGCTCAAGAACAAATCATTCGTGATTCAAGACAAAACAACGCTCTTTTGACTGGCCGTTGGTCTATTAGTGGTGCCAACACTACTGATGAGACAAAGCTAGCTGCCAAAGCTAGCTACCAAAGCTAGCTACCAAAATCGAAATGATAATAGCTCAGAAGCATTTTTTATTCCTAATTCCTCCTCAAAGAGGTTAATTGTTGCAATGCAATAAGTTGAAGCAGAGCTCAAGAACAAATCATTCGTGATTCAAGATAAAACAACGCTCTTTTGACTACCGTTGGTCTATTAGTGGTGCCAGCACTACTGATGAGACAAAGCTAGCTGCTGGTGTTGAACGACGAATGCTCTATTTTTAGACTCTGGTGTCATTCAACCAATTAGATCTATGATTGTATCAGAGTTTCATTAATAATGTACTATGTATATCCATCCACATATCAAGTTTCATATTCATGTTCATTATTTATAATTTTATATCAAAGCTTCAGTAGTTACCATAGAGATGGTAGCTATGAATTGAAGGCTACTACAGACATGATTTTTGTTTCCACTCTTTCAATCAGTACATCAAAAAAGTAACTCTGGATAAATCCCATATCATTCAATTGTCTCTCATTCTGTACATAATAAATCGTCAAGCGCAGCAATACTTTTAACAATATTGTCGCTTGCACTAACTTAGCTACAGGTTGTGGGCTAATGCGTGCGTATGTGTGTGTGTTTTGCAGGCTTACAATCAAGTAAGCATTTGTGCCACGTGTGCAATAAGAACTTCTCCTCCAGCTCGGCCTTGCAGATCCACATGAGGACCCACACGGGGGACAAGCCATTCCGGTGCACCGTCTGTCAGAAGGCCTTCACGACAAAGGGCAACCTCAAGGTACGTTTGTAGGGCCCGTCGCCGCTTCGCTTCACTAACGCTGTAATTAATTTTATGTGAGGGATTGCCGTGCGCTATGCATCGCTTGAGTGTAGTAGTTATTCTGGTGTAAATACACCGAAACCTTCATATTTTCGTAAAATTCGCTAAAAAACCGAACGAAATCAATAACAGCATGAAAATAGAAATGGGGAAAGAAGAGAATGTGAATTTTACGGAAAAAATAAAGGTGATCCAAGCTACGGGGGATGAAATGAAGGGAATTTTAGGGGTAGAAAATAGTTTATCATGATTTACACCAAAACTAAACTTTCTATTGAGGAAACTTGATAAGAAAGTTGTAGGAAGTTCTACAACTTTTGTATGAACCTTTTTTACATTACACATAACACGAAACTTCTACAAAAATAATTTGCTTTTGACGATATTTGGTAGATACTCAAATTTTTGTGTCCCTATCATGCTATGATTACTTCAAATCAAAATATCCTAGAATTTGTATTTTGACATTGAAACGAAAATATTACCTTATATTCGACCTAAAATATTCATGTTGGGAAAACTGTTTTCAGTACCAATATTCCACCAGTATAAAAAAAATGTCATTCAACAGGTTAGAACATGTCAGAACTAATAACCCATTGAGTATATCTCCTGTTCTGATGTTATTTATAACAAAATATCACTACTACACATACTTACACATATATGGTTTAACAAATATCTAACCGCCTAAAAGTCAAAATGTACTCATCTATTTATTATATTTTGAGGCAAAAACGTCAGTCATTTCAGAGAATTTAGTGCCTACTATTGAAATTATAGAGTCAAATCGTTTATTTTCCACAGAAAATTGCAACTTTTAAATGAGTCATACATAGCTATTAAACTAGCTGAAATAATAGTTCACTCATCTTCTTCTTTCTTTTTATTTATTGGCCTGAGCAACCAAGGCTATACGGCCATAATTGATGTGTACTCCAATCATTGATTTTGATACGTCAACTGTCAATCTTGAGTCATTTGTCAGTTCTGAGACATTAATCGAACGTTTCTCAAAATTCAACAAAATGTTGGTAATGATAATAGTACTTATTGAAATCAATTTAAAAAGTATTGACATTTTTACAAAACTCCATTGAACAAACCTTCACCTCTATTTTTTTATTTCAATTTGGGAAATTCGGGGCAATGGATGTTAATTTTTTTGTGAGAATTTTTGCTGCAAAATGTAAATTGCATTGAACATATTTGTAGCTCAGTCTAAAGAAGCGCATAATTGCTTGCAACGGGTAAATATTCCAGGATGTTGAGATCAGGTGTTCATGGTGGACAATTCATAAGATCGTGGTATTTACGTTTGGTACAGGTTAAAACCTAATGGATAATATTGGATTTTGTAGAATGTCTTCTTTATCATCAGAATGTAACCTTTCAGGAGTCTTTGATTTAATGCTCACTCTATAAGCCAAATGCAATTCGCACGTCAATCTCATCTAGTAGTTCATAGAACGGCCAGTGTTGTTTTGGGATATTTTTAATATATTTTTCTGTGCAGGTACATATGGGAACACATATGTGGAGCAACGGGGCGTCCCGTCGAGGACGTCGAATGTCTCTCGATCTGCCCCCCATTCCCATGACCCCCAAGGATTCCGAATTTCTACAGCGGAGACCCGATCTCTTCTACCCGTACCTTCCGGCTCCATTCCTTAATGGAATGCAACAAAAGGTAAGGAAATCAGAGAGTTTCGCTCAAATTGTTACTCACTTAGCTCAAAGAACAATTGGAAATTAGGTATCCATTCATCAATCAGCACTAATAGGCAGTTCCACAGGGAATAGTACTAGGGCCCTACCCTTCAATGTATTATCAGATAGGCTAGTTTTAGAAAAGCCGAGGATGGTTCAGTTATTTTTGTTGCTGCTATTAGAATGTTGTTGCTATTAGAAAAATCAATAGATAAATAGATGGGAATCTATTCATATTCTGCTATAGAGGAGGTTATTGATTTTTAGAAAAACGATGTAACTAATTTTTAAATAATATTAGTTGTCAGTTGTTAATAGTATAAAGGTCAGCAATTTAGGTTTCCCTCCAAAATGTGACCTGAATATATATCATAATATATCACTCCTTCTTCCACAGTTTCTCTATTTCTGATGTGATTGCAAAGTATCAAGTGTGAAAGTGACGAAGACGAGAAAAATGTTATTATTAAGTCTAGGTTATGTAGGGAAAAACACTGGGGACATCAAAATTCGTGCAAAAGTAGTAGATATTTTTGGACCAAAAAAAAACTTGAGGTTATGTTATTATTTAGGATTCATCAAAAGAGGGTCAATTTTCTATAGTTTGTATTTATTTCTGTAGTCATAAATAATATATAAAACTTATTTTTTGCTGCTTATGTCTTGTAACTTGTGCATTGTGTCACGGCCTTAATGATTCATTGAAATCAACACTAACGCCATCTATCAATTTCCAGCTGAACGAGATATCCATGGTCCAGACAAACCAGAACGGTCTGTCTACTGCCGGCAAGTACGGCGGCCTCCTAGGCTTCGGCTACCCACCACCAGAGGCTCTACGATCTCAGGCGAATTCTCCCGAACGCGGCGAGAGACCGCCAAGTCACGAACCCGACACCCGCGGTCTGTGGGACCTGCATTTCGAGAGGAAGAGCGCTGCAGACGCCTCCAGGGAAGACCTCCTGCCAGCCACAAGGGAAGGCTTGGCCGCCTGAGAGTCGCAGCACGGCTGCGATGTTCCTATTTACTAGTCTAAGAACGGCAAGGTGTTTCGCCCATGTCGGAATTTAAGCCACGGGAGGTGGGTGTCGCGGAAGGGTGAAAGGCGTTTTTCACTCTCCAGGAGGAATATGTTTCATATCCTCGCTTGAAGCTCATTGAAAATTATACCTATTCATAGTAAAGGCCAGTACAAAGGTCAGCGTGAACGTATTATTTTTTGAATGAATATGTAGTTATCTACATATCTAAAAATTAGTTTTAACTTTTTTGTTGAACTTGTCATAAAATATCAAAATATTGTATTGTGATTTTTTAAAGATATACCGGTTTGTCAGAATTATTCATTTATTTGCATCAATGTCTGTCACCAGTTTTTCAAAAAATCACGTTCATATTTCAATTTTACTGGCATTATTGATGAATTTTTATGATGATCTCAGAAAGATCATTTGTGATCTTTGAATATACGTATTAATGTCAATATGTTCGAAAATACATGGAAACAACTGAAAAAAAATTACAGTTTGAGTATGCTACCATTAATTTTCAGTTCTTACAACGGCGCCTCAACCCATGTATTTCAAATCTAATCTGTAACTTATTCAAATTCTCGAGGAAATTTCAACTGTTTTCCGAACTTCTAGAAACACCTTGTATAGAACGGATCGGGGCAATGATGCATACTGTGATAAAGCAGCCGTCAGCTGCATAAGCTGCAAGAAGCTGCAGTGTAATTAAAATTATTTAAACAAACTTTTATCGATAGGACCCTGTATTATATAGTAGAGTGTACGAAATCTGTACGAAATGTATGATAATGGTGAATACTCTGATAGTTACGTTCTAGTTTACGTTTTATATATCATATCTCAATAAATATAATCAAAATCGTTCGATATTCAATTTCTCCAAGATGAATTCTCAAAATCATATATTTTGTATGTTCGTTTTGATGTGTTGATATCATGTGTCCAATGGACGCCGCGGCGATGCCAGTATTTAGCTTTACACCCTGTATATACGACTAGGTAATGAAGGATCACTGTACTGTTATAGATGTTGTCCATTTTTATTTAGCATGTAAATAATCCACTGTGTACCATAAGACTGTTTTTCTTTCCTCGATGTATGCTTATTCTGTCCGTCTGTCCCAGTACAAACTACCCTCGTACACAGGGTCTGTCAAAAATCGTGGCTCTTTCACACCCAAAACAAATTGTACATATATATTTATAGCTGTGTGTGTGTTGGGTGTTTTTTAATATCCCTTGTATATCAAAAAATGCTTTTTTTCACAAAAAGCAAACATTTCCAGTACTTACTTTTGACCCTGTATACGAAGAGCTGAGAATCACTAGACCCCGCGCGGTCCCCACATACGTATCTTGACTTCAAAAGACAGAATATTATTTTAAAGTAAAGAATATTGTGTAAATGTAAGTAATTTGGAAGTTTTTTTTTATTATCAATGTACAAATAATTTTAACTGGTCACGTTTATCGAAACTATGTCTGTATTTATAAATCCGTGCAGCCAGTTAACTCTGTTTAATTATAAAATATAAATATTTATCACATACGACTCGATTGGTTTATTTACGATAACCTTCCTGGTTTTCAGTCATCCGGAATTCTGGAATTGAATAATCAACTTATTTGAAAGAAATACTATTCTCTGAATTTAAATCGAAAATAGTTGTGGAAATTACTAGCTCTGGAAAATAAAGCCTGTGGGATATAATTCAATATACGGCGAGGTATTAGCAGGGGAAATCTTAGTTTTGCGACAGACATTTCTTAGAGCCTACTGTATAGGTAGTTGGAGCCGTAATGAGGACAGTCTCTGTTTTATCTGGTGCTATCTCTAGCTCTTCATATGCGTCCATGAGCTATATTTGCCTAATTAGCCAGATTTTCTTCACCTTCGGCAACCACGACAACATCAATGTCATCTGCGAACTCCTGTTGATTGTTGCATTCCAAGTAGACCATCATAGAGCACATTCCATAATATAAGTTATGTAGGATCCTGGTGCTCCGATATTCTATCTCTTTCTAATAACTTCAACCATAATCTTGATTGTAATTTCATTCAGGTAAGAACTCTACTACAAGCTTGATTTTGAATTCATTTGATTTTTTTTAATTTGCCTGGCAGAACTCTTCACAGTTGGAATATTTTCCGCTTTGTGATTATCAAAATTCCTAATTAAATTACCACTACGTGTTCTACATGTAAAGCCAGGCACAGAAAAGGGACTCTTTAAAATTTCATTCTTCACACACAGAATCGGTTTGAGTTCAGAACCCAGGCAATGTTACAACATGCACACAGAGGGCGCCTACCGATCCTTGCGAACGTGGGTAAATACCCTTGTTTGTACCTCACTTCACGGTAATCATCATGACCGAATAAAAGAAGAAGAATACTTGACATAGTCACAGATTGAGTACACATAGTTTGTTTACCTAACCGTGAAATAGAAAATATGAACAAAAACAATTAATATGGTATTCAAATAGCTGTCAGAATTTTTCCAACTTGAATAAAATCAAGATGAATTCTGCCTGTCAGAATTTTGGCTGTGATTTATGGAGTACAGCAGTGGAATGCTCAGAGGAATCCTACATCTGAGAAAATAATTTGTTTGTTACTATCTACAACTCAACATTGACAAAAAAAGGTTTTCTTCATGTTCAGATTGCTCTAGTTTAAAATGAATGGTGGAAAAATTAAATGTTACAATATTATGAACACACCTGAGGCAGGTATTTATGACTTATTCCCACACATAGCTCGAAGTGTTTTCGATTAGGAAGTGAAGGATTAAGAGCAAATAGAACAGAATATGATTACTGAAAAATGATGAAGAAATTCTAATGTTGAGGAAAATAGAAATAATTTATTGGGCTAGATATTCTTTAGTTACTAAAAGCTGATTGCTGAAGTTAAAGGTGAAGTACATAGTAAAAACATTGTAGAGTAATAAACGGTTTCATAATACTATATTTCAAAAAATCAACTGTTTCAAGAAAGTAAATTCAAATAGAAATCCAGAATATCGAATAATAATCAAATAAAGGTGACATATTCAACCAAATGGTCATTGATTTATATTTTTCCAACCTAATTCACTGAAATGAACTAAGTTTGTTGAGTTGTACCATGAGATACTGGAAGAATCCCATAATTGCAAATGAGAAGCTCAAAGGAAACCATCCCGCCCTTATCCATGCCCAGAATGTCAATCTGAAAAAAAGTCACATTATCACGCAGTGTTTAACTGCAAAAAATTTGTTCATATCGACAGATTTGATCTCCTTGAAAGGGGATGAAACTGTTTCCATCAACATTCAACTGCCATGTTGCAAAAAGAAAGATAGGTTCATTTCCAACCCTCTTTTTAAGCGAGTCATGAAGCTATGATGGTGAACTCTACATAGTTTACAAAATCGTGACACGTGTTCCATTATCTATCTTGTAAAATATAAATATGCACAAAAACCATATCACAAAGTATTATTTGAATGAGTTATATTAAATTTCAATCAAGTATCGGTCAAGTGTAGAATAAAAAATACACTCTGATTTATAAAATTCACACAAAAACTCTTCAAAGTATCATGGCGTCACTTGTGACGTCACATTCGAGTAAATTATATGCAAACAACATTCAACATGAACGCGTCTAAGGAAGCTATTATAGCGAAACACGTGAAGCGGTTTTGTAAACTGCTCAGTAAAAATGTCACAATAAATTGTTATTTGAATCCCCTGTAAGAATTTCAATTCATTAGTGATGCAAAAGGATATAACATACTCATAATTTTTTGATGGTTCAGAGAAGGGTACTGTTTCAATTATTCCTACTTCAGAAATGTAAACATTGCTAAGTAGCTTATCGTTGACGTCCGTTTTCATATGCTCAATTTTATGGACAATTTCTTCTCCTTTGAGTACCTGAAAATGAGAATAGTTTTAGAAAAAGAAACAGTTCCTAGGAAAAGTTCTAGAAATTACCACATCTAGATTGTTCTTCATACCTTTCCGAAAACGACGTTTTTTCCATCTAACCACGGGGTAGCCATAGTAGTAATGAAAAATTGGCAACCATTTGTGTTTGGCCCTGAGAAACCAGAAACAGTTTTATATTCATTATTTTTTTTTTGGAAAAAGTCAATTCAAAAAATGTTTAAGAAGAATAGAACACACAATGTAAATAGTATTTACAGTAAAGACATGCACGCCCGAAGAAGCCCTTGTATGGCGAAACACGTGTTGCATTTTTGTAAAACTATTTAGTAAAATATCTCGCAATAAAGTGTTTTTAAATACGTTATTTACATGACTGGTAAAGTGTTTTTGCCTTTCATGAAAATCTATTGACTGAGTTTTTTCTGCATTTAGATGCAATGAATTCATGCAGAACCAGTCATAGAGTTCAGAAAGAACTTCACGTATCGTCCGCATACAATATCTAATGTGTGGATGGGTTCGCTCCAAAGAATGTCATTTATATATAATAGGAACAATATTAGGCCCACTACTGATCCTTGAGGAACAACTACACTGGTGTCAAGATTATTCGAATTACAGGTGGTCACTGTTTTCTCAGTTACCTCTGGAATACTAATGTAGTGACAACGTGAGTGCTGATAAAATTTAATCCATTCCAGGGCAAGTCTTTTAACAACAATTTTGATTAAACTAGTTATGAGGGTGGTATGGTTGATGCAGTCAAAAGCACCGCAGAGATCACAAAAGATCCTCACCAAGTCAGTCAGAAAGGAGTGGATGGCACTGCTTGTAGATTTGTTTTTTGGAATTCATGCGGGTTGTCGATCATTGAATGATTAAGCTTCAAGAGAGAATTCAGCCTCCTTGAATAGGCATTTTCAAATATTTGATTTAATTTAATTATGGGACTTAAGTTAACAATGTTTCAAATCAATACTCCTACCTTTATTTGCCATAACCAGAAGTCCAGGGGAGTCGTGTTTGATGGTAAAATTCTCATCTTTGAAGTAATCTCCATAAATACTGACGGATCCAGTTCCGTCATTGTTAACAATGTCACCACCTGAAAATACACCATTAGATAATCAATTTCCACATTTCGTGTTACCGAATAAAGATACAGCAGTTTATACTGAATTTTCTCTAGTCTATAGATCTTCAGATATTCTATTAATCATTATCGCTCCAGATGTATTCAGGATCCAATTCCAGACAGCACTATTTCCAACCACAGAGGTATCATCAGTGGTGCTAGGCGGTACCACTCAACTGTCCCAAAAAAGACAAGGTAATGGAGTCTCCTCCAACGAAGACTCCATCTAAGAGATCGACAGAAGGCTCAATCCTCAAATATCAAAGATAAACAATGCTCCACACGGTGATCACTTGCGGCTGGATCACAAGTATATCTAGTTCCCGTGGGTTTGGGCTTCCTATCGGGCGCGACCCCAGGTGGCGGATGGGGAAACGGTCAGGGGACTGGAGGCCCGTCCGGGACGCCAATGTGGACTTACGGACGGGGTCGCCGGACTCCTGGTCAGGGGCAGAAATAAGTAGGTGAGGGGAACTAAAACTCCCCAAAAGCCTTTGCAAAAAATGCCACCGTGGACCAGCCTACCCAAGCTGAGGTGTAAGGAATCGTGCCGACAGCTGAATGGCCGCAGGGTGATATGCGGTCACGAACGATCCCTTTGGGGAACTGGACGAAACCTCATTGTAATCAGCCTACCTCTGGTAATGCGGAGCTTTGCCAGAGGTGACCAACTCTTCCTTTGCTACTCGTGGGGACACACATGAATGAAACAACAGAAAAAACAAAAACCAATCCCGAGGCTAAGACGGTGGCTGGGGATGAACAGAAATGTCCACCCTAATCTACCGCTTAGAATGAGGCTGGACATAGCATATCACCTCCAACAGCAAGGATAATTCTTGCGGCGAGCGCCTAGAGCTCCACCTTGAACAAAGGCAAGAAACCGGCTGCCCCTGCAGGAAAGCTTCCACACTTGTGCACCTCCACGGAGGGAACCCCAAGAAGGTTGAAGACACTGCGCAACGACAGTAATATTGCTGCACCCTCCAAAACCTTCGCGGAGCTCACGTTTGCCAAAGAGAGTGTGTGTCGGCAAGTCTTGGCCTACACCTGCCAATATAAAGGAGATGTGTCCTAGTGACCTAGGAGAATAACTCCTCTGGAGGATATACAATGGGTCACATGTGGCCTCCCTACTCTACAGATACCAGAGAGAAGTATATCTAGTTGCCTTACAACGAAAGCTACAGTAGAAGACATAAGATGAATTTTGTTCGGCGATCGATTTCAGAGCTTCGAATTTGCTACTGACTGCCTTGCGGAGCCTCGATTATCATTAATCAACAAATGAAGGAAACACTATGACAAAAAATATGTAGATATATATGATCTGGTAAGGTCGCAATCGAGTGTATAATGTGCATGCCGCTAAAATTCAGAAATGTATACCAGTACAATTAAGAGAGTTTATATGGTATGGAAGCTCTCTATCCCCCATCCATGAATAAAGCTTCGGTATCAGAAGCGCGTGCTCTCGAAAATAAAATGGCTGCAAGTTTCGTCCTCTAGTAGATACTGTTGTGACAAATCTGAAGCCACCCCTGACCGATATGTCGGCCAGCGAACAAACACATGACATCACCGCAAAAGGAATGCAGTCGGCAACCGCCGGTTAAACTCTAGTTGAGTACCGAAACTACTACAGAATTCTAGAACGATCGTTACCGATATACAAGGCCGGCTTCTCGTCCCAAGAGGGCAGTTGAGTTCAAAAAGTGAATCGAGCGGTTAAACAACAACAATTCAAATAGTGGAAATAAATTAAGTGTTAAGTGTTGTGAATAAATTAGTTTGTGATAGTGAAATAATGTTAGAAATAAATTTGTTTAAGACAGTTAATTCTTTAATTTGTTACAACTGGTGTCAGAAGTGGGATTTGTGAAATAAATATGTGGGCGCCCGGTGGACAATCTTTGTATTGCGGTGTAATTGACTATAAAACTTATTTGTTCGCGCAGAGAGACTAGTGAAGTCATGTGTTTGTTCGCTGGCCGACATATCGATCAGGGGCTGCTTCAGATTTGTTACAATACTATAAGAGAACATTCCAAAACACCACGCATCATTTTGGAATGTTGTGAAATGTTCAGAAAGAGCTGAAACGTTTGCCTAACATCAGGAAACATTCCAAATCAGTGTAGAATGTGAGGCATGCTTTTGAAGATATGTGGGCTGAACGTTTGTAGAATAGTCCGGAATACTCTAGATTATTTGACAGCAATCCATAATATTCCAAAATATTCCGGCAACCCGAAAAGTTCTAAAATGTTGTAGAATGTTTGGGAATAGTCGAATTTGCATCATATTTTGTGTCAAAATGGAGTTGAGTACTCAAAAACACTTGAAATGTTGACAGTGGCATATGGTGATTGTATGGCCCAGTACATCAAGAACCAATGAAAATGTTAAGACATTTAGGAAAATCACAATGGAGGATATTGGCATATTGTTTGGCTCATGTCATGTGATTTTTTCGTAAATTTTTGCCATGAAGCGTGTCACAGAGAAGTTCGTTCCAAAATTGCTCAATTTTGACCCAAAAAACTGTCACATGAGCATCGCTCAGGAATTGTTGAGTGACGTCAACGGTGATCCAGATTTGCTCAAGAGGGGCATAGCTGGTCATAGCTATATGGTTTTGACTTAGTGTATTTGTCATTACGTTTTCTCGTAACACAACTTCTAGAAGAGCTAGAATAAATGTGAATACTACTATATATGTAAAAAGCTTCCCACCTTGGATCATCACTCTTGATATGGCCGTATGAAACTTGGTGCCCACATATGATCTTCCACTGATTCCTTTCAGAGCTATGGTTTTGAAGTTCTCACATGTATCTGGTGCTACTTCTCCAAACAACCCCAGTATGATCCTTCCCAGCATTTGGTTATCTTTTCGAACATCAAAGTATATTCGATCTGTGACTTTGTATTCAGAAGACTGAAAAATTTTGATTTTTGATGAGTGTTGAAAAGAAATTACGGAAAAAATTGGTAAGCAGCAAACGGTTATACAAATGCAGAAAAAATATTCACTAAAAATGGATATTCGAGAAAAACGAGTAAGAAAAAGAAATGGGAACAGAAGCTGTGAAAATGGCGGAACGAAATTCAAATTGTCTGGTAATTTCGATAAGAGGGAATAGAAAAAATGGAAGGTATTATAAAGGTTTTATCTGGGCGACTAGGGGCCACAGGCAAGAAATGTTTATGACTGTACTCTTATTTTTATTGCCGTTCCAATTGGGAATGGATAGACTATACTCCCCGTGATTTTTATCTAGTTGAAGCAACATCAAAACTTCACTTCTATGGGAAACGAAGGTTTTCACTTTCCACTTCTCCATCTTCACACAAAAAATTTTGTAATCTTCCACATAACGGAAGAAAGCAAATAATTCCAAAAAAAAACTCTTTACAAAGATGTATAAGACCAAAGATGTAAATTTCAAACACAAACAGTAAACAACTACTTTGATATGAACTTTCAATTACACCATTTCGTTCTCCATATTTCTCTCACGACATATTGATTTAAAATACAAATGGAAATGACAATGAGAGAAATAATATCGAACAATATGGGAGTACCTCAAGGCTCTGTCCTAGATCTTGTTCTACCCATCAAAATTGGAGGAACAGTTGACCAAATTTCTGGCTGGTTTTCAGCAAAAATTAAAAACTGACTAAAGATGAAACGAATAAGTGTAGCATTTCATGGTTGAAGCAATCACTGGATCTGCTTTTTTCAAGTAGTTTGAACTAGATGAGAATTAATCATCTCACCGGAAGTACGATATTAGTAGGTTTTGTATGGGATAAATTCGGAAGTGCTTATTTTCAGTCTCAATATAAGAGGTGTAGTTTATGAAATCAATATCAGATGTCTATTCAATAATGAGAAATACGTCATACGTATCAACAGATTACGTCAAGATATGTTGATAGGTTGATACGTTAAGAAGAGTACTTCGACCACGCCATTGAAGATGACTGCCGCAGTTGTAGTTGAAACGTTTCGATATTGTAATTTTCCTCTTGATGATGTTCACTTGGTGATTGAAACACGTGTCGAGGTCTTGAAAATAACGGTTTGGTGTTGGGATAAACAACAAGGCATTGATCTAATAATAATAGCAAATGAATAGTAACAGCAATAATGGCAATGGTGATATGAATAAGTATTTAAGATACTAGAAGTCCAGTTAATATCCACATATGGTTCAAACAGTACGTCTATAAAGGTACGTCTATAAAGTTTATGTTGTCAAAAGTTCCCGTCAGGGTCCGTTGAAATTTTTTAGTCCAATATTTGTCACTTCGTTGTACAATTTATCGCCAAATTGAGCCCCTCAGCGCTCAAAAATAAATATCCATCGGCTGTTGAAGTTGGTGGCCTATTGATATCCACAGAATATTCAGTGGACATTCCTTGTTCAGTGTCAAAGGACATCCACTGAATATCCATAAAGTCCATTTCGGATGTTCAATTGACATCCAATGGATGTCCATTTGTTTTCTTGGTTGTCCTAAAATGATTAGTTCCTATCTTCAACATGTTTGACCGGTTCATCATAACTTGACTTTCTAAAAGGACAATTGAATACATAATGGAGTTCAAAAAAATTGCTGAGCGGTAAATCCACCCGCTGTTTTGTCCCACATTCATACCGCGAAGCAGGCGTTTATGATAATAGGCGTATGAAACAATCAACATACAGAAAGAGCCGCCTCATTGAAAATCGCCAAGAAAAATCGCTTGCTTTTTTCTCCTGCCCGACGCGTTTGACATTAGCATTTATATTAGCATCTATTTTTATTTCTAAATACATTCTGCCATCTAAATATAACTACATCATTTGCTTTTGTTTCGAACAGCAATTAATCTTGATAATTGGAAATTAAATTTATAGGGCTGCCTCACCATAATTTCGAACATAAAACTGGTCGTATAACTATAATGCAAATGCGTTTTACTTACCGAGGCCCAGCAAGTCATCAGAAGTGTTGCAAGAACCCACGAATACATTTCTTCCATTGAAAATACAACGACGATTAACTGAGGCAGGCCAGTTCTACTATTTTTCGCATTGATTTTCCCAGGACACTAATTAAATTAGAGCACAGGGTGATATCGAGTGCAACAGGATGTTCACGAACTAGTGAGGTTTCACTTGATCTTGGAATTTGATCATTTAACAGTTGAGCTAATAAGCAACAAGATTTACACCACTAAGCCAAATAACATTGAACAACAAAACTACTATGTGCCAATCAAATGAATAAAGTAACATGCCGCAAAAACAAAAAGAAAAAATGTTTACATTTTGTACATAAAATTACAAGGAATACCTCTAAATATATGTAGAATTAGGCATACGTTATATGACCGCCGCCAAAGACAGAGATCTCAGCAAAAAGAATCCTGAAAGTATTCTTCCAGGGTATAGTAGGTAGGCCCTCCCAACTATGAGCATTTTTACAGATTTTCTGAAGTTGACTTCGCTTTCGATGACACGCAAGGTTAGGTTCAAAAATTAGAGAGTTGCGAATTAAGGTTGAGGAGGGAATTGGAAGCGAGATCAAGTGAGAGGAGCGAGTGTTATAGGTTGACTCAGAAGTAATTATAGCTTGGTATTTCTTGTGCATGAGGCAAGTCATTTCCAAAATGTAGATACAAACTCCATGTTGCATAAAAAAGGGACGACAGGATTCACGGTAATCAGAACTACATAGGTATCTAATTGCCCTTTTTTGGAGAGATAATACTCTTTAAAATAAATACTGAGCACAAGCGCCCCAGAAGCAGATTCCATAACGAAGATGTGATTTAATTAGTGCTATACCCAAATTCAACTCATTAGCAACGACACGAACCGCAAAGCAACCTGAAGCTAATCGATTGCATGGTTTTGTAATATGGTTACCAAACTTCAATTTATTATCAATCAGAAGTCCCAGAAATTTATTATCCGTAGAAATGGAGATTTGTTCCTTGTCCAAATAAACATCATCTAAGTCGCCCTTGAATGTTATGATATTTGTTTTGCTTATATTGAAAGTTAGAAGATTGGAATCACACCAATTCTTAACTTTTTCTATATCTATGCTTAGGTGGTAGTTAAGCTCTGAAGAGCTTTTGTTGTGCCATAGAATCGATGTATCATCTGCAAAAATAGTAATTTCACCATTGATATCTAAGTTGGCGAGGTCGTTAATATAAATGAGAAATAGAGTCGGGCCCAAAACTGATCCTTGGGGAAGGGAGGAGGAAATATTAAGAGCAGATAGTTGTTGGTTCACAGATGGATTAAGAACACCTTCCAAATCTGATGCAGGTGTTTTTAGTCGCAGATCCAGGGCAAAGATCAATCTGCCTAGGAACCTATGCGACTGTATTTCAAACGAAAATTTACGCTACTGAATTGTGTGCGGAGAGATTGGAAGAATCCAACCTCATTCACAAGTCAATAAAAATGCTAAAGTCATAAAGACTATATGTCGTGTCTTGCCAGGAAAGGAAAGGAAGGATGGTGTAGGAAGTAAGGTTGAATCTGGTTTGTTTAAGCGAATTCACAAGGCACCCGCAAACTACTTTAAATCGGCGGTCATTCAAGTTCAATATAGTCTGCGAGGGTCCCGCATTTTGAAAGATGAATTGAAGAAACACTAAAACGATTTACCGAAATATTTTTCAGTTCCGATCCGTCACGGCGTCCCATCCGAATAAATGAATCAAAAACAAACGCAGTCATACATTAACGAAGGCCAACTGGAGGCTAGCCTCCTCTAACGCTATAATTTCTGCAACTAAAATTACAAATCGGGACGTATGTCCCTGGCTGGTTCGGTCTCGCGGAGTTTGTGTTTTTAAAGCGTTCAGAGGCTGGGCCCCCTTGCAACGTATCAACGTATGGCATTTATTATTTAGGGTTGATGGTTTCTTCGTTATTCGTTCGTGGGCGGTTCGTTTGAGGTTTGTTGATGCAGGATACAGTGTGGTACGTACTACGTAGTGAGTGATAGTGTTTTTTTGGGAATATTATGTGATTATATTAAAAATTAATGATAAAGTAATGATACTCAAGCATTTTTAGAAAAAAATTATCATTTTCATTCGTAAACATAATATATGTATCTTATTTCTCATACCACAAGTCTATTGTCTCGGTCTTACAATCAATCACAGTGATTACTGACGTATGCGATATTAAAAATAATAAATAAAAATCAAATATGTTAATATATGTGTTAATACATGTGTTTATTATACATATTTTATTCAATATAGTCGTCTTTGAGGGCGATTCAACGATTATACCGGTCATACAACTTTTCGATATCTTCTTTATAGTACGATATGTGTTTAGGCCCAAAGTATGCTTCAGTTTCGACGAATACCTCCCAATCGGAGCTGAATTGCTTTTTAGCTAGCGTTATGTTGAGGCCTGAGAACAGAAAAAAAGTCGCTGGGGCCAGGTCTGGAGAGTACGGTGGATGCGGAAGCAATTTGAAGCCCAATTCATGTAATTTTGTCATTGGTTTGTGTCACGTACATTCTATTGATGAAACAGCAATTTTTTTTCTTCTAGTGGGGCCGTTTTTCCGTGATTTCGTCTTTCAAACTCTCCAATAACGCTATGTAATAGTCGCTGTTTATGGTTTTTTCCTTCTCAAGATAGCTGATGAATATTATACCGTGCGCATCGCAAAATACTGTATATTTCATTATTGAAAAAGAAATATGTATTACTTTAAGGAAAGTTAACAGACGCATTAAGTCATCAATAATATTGCAAAAATCATCAACACGATTCCAATGTTTACGCCCTTAGGCAGATATCAAAGTGGGCATTACTAAAAACATCCAGACTTGCTGAGACGTGATTGAACCAAAGTTCAATTAAATTAAATTTCGAGGAAATCTCAAAAGAATCTTCATACCTTTAGGTTGGACTTTCAAGGTCGTACGCTTTTATTGGAACTTTCTCCGCATTATTTAAACTTTTATGTCGAAATTTTTAAAAACGTAGGTCGAAAAAATTTGGTAGTTATCAATTTCCTAAGATAGACATTTTTTACTAATTTTTATTATTTTTTATTTATTCTTTGAAGTGTTNAGTCATGAAGCTATGATGGTGAACTCTACATAGTTTACAAAATCGTGACACGTGTTCCATTATCTATCTTGTAAAATATAAATATGCACAAAAACCATATCACAAAGTATTATTTGAATGAGTTATATTAAATTTCAATCAAGTATCGGTCAAGTGTAGAATAAAAAATACACTCTGATTTATAAAATTCACACAAAAACTCTTGAAAGTATCATGGCGTCACTTGTGACGTCACATTCGAGTAAATTATATGCAAACAACATTCAACATGAACGCGTCTAAGGAAGCTATTATAGCGAAACACGTGAAGCGGTTTTGTAAACTGCTCAGTAAAAATGTCACAATAAATTGTTATTTGAATCCCCTGTAAGAATTTCAATTCATTAGTGATGCAAAAGGATATAACATACTCATAATTTTTTGATGGTTCAGAGAAGGGTACTGTTTCAATTATTCCTACTTCAGAAATGTAAACATTGCTAAGTAGCTTATCGTTGACGTCCGTTTTCATATGCTCAATTTTATGGACAATTTCTTCTCCTTTGAGTACCTGAAAATGAGAATAGTTTTAGAAAAAGAAACAGTTCCTAGGAAAAGTTCTAGAAATTACCACATCTAGATTGTTCTTCATACCTTTCCGAAAACGACGTTTTTTCCATCTAACCACGGGGTAGCCATAGTAGTAATGAAAAATTGGCAACCATTTGTGTTTGGCCCTGAGAAACCAGAAACAGTTTTATATTCATTATTCTTTTTAGAAAAAGTGAATTCGAAAAATGTTTAAGAAGAATAGAACACACAATGTAAATAGTATTTACAGTAAAAACATGGACGCCTGAAGAAGCCCTTGTATGGCGAAACACGTGTTGCGTTTTTGTAAAACTAAAATTTAATCCATTCCAGGGCAAGTCTTTTAACAACAATTTTGATTAAACTAGTTATAAGGGTGGTATGGTTGATGCAGTCAGAAGCACCGCAGAGATCACAAAAGATCCTCACCAAGTCAGTCAGAAAGGAGTGGATGGCACTGCTTGTAGATTTGTTTTTTGGAATTCATGCGGGT